ATTGCTCATAGATATTTCTCGCTCATGAAGAGGCATACAACTCCCCTGACATTTGAACTAGTTTTCCACCTTAAATATTTTGGTGGCTAATTCGTTCAGTTGAGCTACCAGTGCATTTAACTCGAACTCGCCCTTGACTTTTTGATTTACCCAAACCAACTTGCCACCCTTCACTCAACCATGCTAAGTGTGCCTGCATACACAAACAACTCGAAAGAAAAAAAATAAAATAATATTAGTAAAGATATAAGTAATTAAGAATAAAAAAAATACTTAACTACATTTTCTTATGTAACATCACTCTCCGACAACGGCGCCATTTTGATGTGTTGCATAATCAATGACACTATTTCAAGTACAAGTGTATACGATCATAAAATACTAAACTAACCCAACAAGGGATTGGGGTCGTGTACAAAGGGAGTGGTCGTGTTTAGTAGATAATTAGAATTTAATTCTAATTACTCGTAGCTAATGAAACTAACAACTAAAACATAGTAAATTCAATGGGTGACACAAACATGTCAAATATCAAAGGGGGATTTTCTCACAAGCAGTAAAATATTACAAAACTAACAAGGAAAACTACGAAATTAGAGGGTAAATTCTTGGGATTAGACCGTAATATGGATTATTCTAAATTATTGCATACATAATCTCAATATAAAATTTATAGAGTAATAGTGAGTAAGTTAAGCTTTACATGGAAATAAGTTCTCTCTACTAACCTACCCCTTTTAGAATATGTTTCTCTCGGACAACCATGCCGCATGAAGATTAGTTGATGCTTTACCTCACTCAATATCTCGATCAGAGTGTTAGAATATGGAATTAGAGATCACTACTTTGAGCTGAGTGTTAGAATATGGGACTAGGACTGTGGGTTGGACTACGGTTAGTAACCTGTATAGTCCAAGCCTTACGTGTCACATATGTTTATAAGTCCTCTGTGTAGGGATCAATTTTTGTGGTCACGCCAGAGGTTACATTGGGTCTTTTTGATTGGCTTTATACATCGGACTCCACATTTATCGCTCGTGGCTTTATGTTGATTATTAGCCACAATCAGAATTCTAATGTATTGACCAAGTTATCAATTACTGTTCAATATTCAGTTTCAACATGCTATCAAACATAGTCATTACATTTAGTTACTTCATGTTCAATATTTTAAGTATAGTATCATGCTTTGTTTAGTAATGTACATTGTTCAAATTTATTCCATCATTCATGCTCATTACCTTTCAAGTATTGATGCACACTCTGCACTACATCTTCTCGTGATATAGGTTTAGTCCTCAACATTAAGATAAGGCATATATCAGTTTTCGATATCTATGTCGACAACATCTGTGATGCAGGTTTAGTCCACAACATCAAGATAAGTTTAATATTTCAATGATCAATAAACTCACAGATTTTTGATTAAGATAGTTTTGGGTAGTCCCCATCATTTAATTTTATGAAATGTTTCTAGCATTTGCACACTATGAATATTGTGTTGAAAAAGTTTACATATGCTTATGATATGTTGGAAGAGTTTGCTTGGAGTCGTCCCGTGCTAGCATCCTTGAGGTAGGCTCGGGGCACGACCGACATCCTGAACCATACGAAAAACTTAACAACTATAGGAAAGCTTTAAAATATACGATTTGTAAATCATTTAAAGATAATTTATACAAATGTGTGAAATAAAACTGTATAATAATGATAATTTTTTAACATTTAAATATCAAAGACTCAATTTTCTCGATAATTTTTCTATGAAATCTCTATTCAACTAGGATAGGTTTCGAGACAAAACCCACTGCTATCTTTTAGGCCTATAATAACTCCATCAATGTTAAAGTCAGAGTTAGTGACAAGTTTGTACTGAAACCTACTCTCGATACATTTTAATCTTAAAAAACCTTTAGTTTATAAGATGAGAATTTGTATTGAAACATAAGATTTGATACACTTTGATATAATTAAGGCTCAAATTTAGAATATTTTATATGTAGGCTTTAAAAATTTGTTCCATGTTGACATTGTTCGAATGAGAGCAACGTCCCGGTGACTCAATTAAAAAATAGTTAAAAGAATTTCAAAATGGTTAAAGAGGTAAAAGGGAAAATGGAGTCGCACCATTATTTTTAGGTAAACTAGAAAATCGATTATTTAATTTAACTTAAAAGGAAGTTTACCTAACCAATTGATTCTAGGTAAAGGGTTCAAATATCAAAGGGAATGAGTTAGACACCCTTCAAAATCCATAAGTGTTGGTCCAAACTGAATTCATTTTATTCCAATTGAGAGGAGACAAAATTAATATACAAGTATAATAAACATGTAATATACACAAGTAATAAAATAAGATAATATAAGAAACGGCCTAAAATTTATCTGACGTCAATATATAGAAAATAATGAATGAACAATATAATTTGAACTTAATCCGAATAGCCTCAATGGGAAGGAACTACGTATACCTGTAAAGAAACTTAATAAAAGTGTTAGTCATAAATAAATATGAGTAATAATAAATTAATCAAATAATAACTTAAAAAATAAAAATCCTTTTTATTATCAAGGAAGTTCTTGAAAAATGACGGTAATTTCTTCGTAAGTTAATTAACATGAAATCTAAACTCATATAAAATAAATATGCAATAATTAAAATAAAATAAAACAATAAAATGATAACATGAACAAAATGGTAGTAAAAGTTTTAATTAAATAATAAAGAGTTGTGGGACATTCATATAATAATAGGAATGGAAACAAACAAATAATAACCAATAATGAAGGGAAAAATGATTTTCATAGAAAAGAATAACACAACCAACAATACAACAATACCACTAATAATTTAATTTATAACTATTAGCATGAGGAGTCAACAAAAACATATAATAACATAATAATAATTTAAAATAATAATAAAAGAAACAGCAGCAACCAAAACATATTACTCACTAATTAATCCTTTTTAAATTGTACACCATATATTCAACAAAAATTAGATTAAATCACCTATCAAACTGTACAAAGCTAAAATTTAAAAAAAAAACAAACTGTACTATACATTATCTTATTTTATTTGATAGTTAAAAACGTCAATAGCATAACTTTGACAAAAATAAATAAAGCCAAACAAAATTAAAGATGCAGATCTGAAAATATGAAAACTAACAAAAACTCAACCTCAACATCACAAGCAAAGAGACACTAGCATCAACAATAAAAGATAAATATAATACACCACAACAAAAATTAAATCCTAACAGTAACAGACCACCACAATTATTTATGAACTAACATAGTAGATAAATAACCAAAAATTAAAATAAAAGAAAAATAAACAAAGAGAAGATACATTTGTATAACCATTTGGAGCTCACAGAATTTAACATTGCAGCAGCTGGCAATTTACACGCCTAACAATTTCATCCACCACCATCTTAACCTAGTGAGCCAGTTAATCTATATATAGCAAATTGTTTAAAATGGACCTATGTTGTGGCCTTGAGAATGTGACCCAAAAATTATTTGTTTATTAAATGTTTGTGTATGCAAATTGTATTCATATTTGAATGAATTTTTAAACTGTGTAAAATTTTTAAATGAATATTAACCGATGTATTGAATAAAATGAATATTAAAAAAAACATAATGAATGTAACTAATGACATATTAATTGCAATCTCAAAATTTACTAATAAAAATTCTAAATTTTGATAAATAAAGATAGTTATCGATAAACTTATTTAAAATTATAAAAAAAAATATTTTGAACTATCAATAAATAAAACATAAAAATTATGAATTTTGAAAAATGTTAGACAAAAGTTGAATGTAAACATTTCAAATGTATGTGTTACTATTTACTATATAAAAGGACTCCCCGTGAAGAGATTAGCTCTGCGGTGAAATCTAGTTTATTGTGCCCGAGGTCTTACACACACTACCAAAACCATAGAGGTTGCACTGTCATTTCTATGGTTTAACATTTTATAATGCTAGAGAGTCTCATTAGTTGTGAAAATATCAAGAGCCATTAAAGTAAGAAAATAAAGATTCTTCTTCACTTTTAGATACACTGCCAAAAGTATAGAGGCTACATAAGCATATAAAAATGTACATATTAGATTAATTAGAATAGTGATTAAAAGCAAATAAATAAATAATATGATCAACTTTATCGAATACTTGAGGCAACCTCGAAGTTATAAATAATATAGAGAGGGCCAAACCAATTGTCTTTCCTTGGAAAAGGTACCTTAGAATGTTTCACAATAAAAAGACTAGCATTAACATAAAACCAAGTCAGGTGAGGAACAACACACAAAGTTGTTCTCGTAACTAATTTCAAAGAACATCACTCTATCTTTTCCAAAACCTTCTTCAAAAGGATTGAGAAGATGCAAGACCTCTAAGTTTCATAAAACTACAATAAAAAGGATAAATTTTTTTACAGATGAATGCATTTCTCCTTCATCAACTGCAAACACTGATTCACAATAACCGAATTAATACTAATACCTATGAACCTCGTAAATTGAAGATTCTTATCATGTTTTTTCACTGTGACCCTGAAGGATGAACTGGAAAAGGTGAAGTAGGGATAGGTTAAGCAAGAAATGAAAGATGTGAGATTGAAGGCGTGCACCGTGTTTGTTATGACTTGCTGGAAAAATTGGAGTTGTTTCCAATAAAAATGGAGATCCTGATGCGTTTGGTAAAAAACGAAAGAGCTGATACTATTGCACGTTTTTAGCCCTTCTATCTTTTAGTTCTAATGGAGTTAGAAACCATTTAAAAGTTGTATAAGTGTTAATTTGGAGGAAATGCTTTTGTAGAAATTGAGGCTAAGAAGATTTGTCTTGTGCTTTCTAATAGCTAGACTTCCAAAAAGGTCTACAAATTATCAGTGGGTTCTTTAGAACAATGAGTTAACATATATTAAGATAAGGCAGTGTTTTGCCTTGAAGATTCTTTGAGTAGTGATACACAAGAACGAGGAATATATTGAGATGTTCATTTGCACGTTCCTTTTGTTTAAAGAATCATCGTCGTCATCATCGGTTCCGAACACGAACTACGTGGTGCCACAAGACAAGGCTTCGTCTTGCATTACTCATCCCTTGGCCGAGATCCTACGTGACCTGAACAAGAGAATTCCTGATAACAGCATCAAAGCAGGTAATAATGATGATCACTCCACCTTTATCACCTGGTACCATGCTAACCGGATGTTGAGCTTCTACGCTCCAGGCTGGTGCGGGGAAGTACGAGATGTCATTTTCTCAGATAACAGAAGTGTGACAGTGTTTATCGTGTCACTATACGCGGATCAGATGTAGAGGCACACCGTGAATCAACTGGAACAGTATCACAAGGCAGTGGACAGTACACAGATGTGGTTGCTGCTGCTGAGGAGATAGCATTTTGCAGAGCATGTGCTCGTTTCGGGCTTGGCTTGTATCTGTATCATTAATAAGAATAGTGGACAATTTTGAAGATGCTGTTGAAGGAAACATGATGTAATATTTATTATGCGGGATGATGTAAAAATATTATTCGTGAGGATTGTTAGTTATGTACTAAAATTATGGTCATGGTCATGGTCATGGAGAATGAAGCCTCAAAATATGAAAAGACATAAGATAAAAAAAATTGAGTACATTGGACATACGAGTCCTCGATCGCTGAAAATCGTATTATTTATGCAATTTGATAATGAATAAGCTACGGGTCTTGTTCGTTTCAATTCATTCATATATTGCAGGAATAAATTTCCTTGTACCAATCAAGGATTTACATGTCCAATTGACTCAAATGATTCTTCAAACAAATGACACCTACAAATGAACATCTTGTATAAATCCTTTCTTGACTTTCTCTTCTCAAAGCATCTTCGAGGAAAAACATTTCCTTATGGTAAGTGAGTTACGTCTATGTGCAAAATAATACACGGATATTCTGTAGACATTTTAAGACATTTTTGACAGTCTAACTATCAAAAAGCAGAATACAACTTTTCTCTCCCTCTTCTTTTCCTAAAATCCTCCAAGCCCTTATATAGTTTTAAAATTCATCTTAAATCCATTAGAATTATGAGATGCTAAGACCAATAAAGTACAACGGGTTTACCTCTTCATTTTTTATCACTAGCTTTCCTGTTTCATTAAGCACAACTTTAATTTGTCCAAATTACAAAATACATTCTGCACACCTTCAATCTATATTTTCTAATTTTACATCTCAAATCATTTCCATCCTACTTCAATCTTACCTTGCTTTACTAAAGGGAAATCTAGTCTGGCAACCTAATTCCTTGACGCCATATTATACACTTTACGAGATGTATAAAATTTATAAACTTATTCACATCACTACCTCATAATCCTATAAACTCAAATGATCACCAACTTAATTAACCTTTTTCGAATTCGTGAAAAAAGGAAAATATCCGATAATATTAACACATTCCTAACATTATACCACTTCATCGTAAATGCTAATCTACTACAAAACAATATATACAGAGCATCATCAAAAACAGTAATCCCCCCAACAAAATTACGAAACTCTAACAATATAGGAGCATTGTAAAGACTCAACCCACTAGACTGTGTGGGCACCTCTTTTAGCATTTTCGTAGATTGTTTAGTTTATACTTTTAGTTCTTTATAAGAGGTTAGTTCCATGCCCACTCAACTTCTGTAACTTTTCGAATTTTATGTACATGGTGCTCAATGATATAACAGGTATAGAAGAATAAGAAGACAACCGACAACACCTTATAAAATTTCCTTGGTGCGATATAAGCCTCTTCCTAGACATCCCCAGCAACATAAATACTCGATGTAAATTTTGTGCTAAAAAGAAAATAACCTCTAGCAAATTGGGGGATTAAAAAGCATTGATTAGTTAATAGATAATGTCAGAAAATACCCTAAAGATATTTAGAAAACAAACAAACACATAAATAAGTTATCACATTCACTAGTTCTTGTACTCTCACAAATTAGAACAAATTCATTGTGGTGATACATGCTCCTCCCTTTAATATATGTCCACTTCATGTTAAAACTAAAATTATTATATTCGGGGATTAAGGTGAAGCAATTAACTTAAATGCATACATTTAGACAACGATTAACCTTTCCTACAATTTGGTGGAATCATTTCAACACAAAGACAAACATAGAATACTATATCTTTACTGCTTGTTTAAATTGATTGAGTATTGCAGTTTAACAATGGATGCATTGGAGAATTCCCCATTAAGAGATGAACAAGTTTGAAGGTTATCTCTAACTTATCTCGTATTGTAAAAATAAAATATGATTTATTGAATCCAAGAGTTACCTCTAAAAGTATAACGTAAATAAAATTATTAGACATAAGTGAACTCTTCTTCACTTAATTCCTCATTTCCACTCTATATATCACTTTTATGATCATGTTTATCAAATACTTGAGGAAATCTTAATGTTGGCATTGTAGAGAGGGCCAAACCAATTGTATTCATCCATAAAGAGGTAACAATGTCCATATGAGAATTTTCACAAAACGAAAGAAAATATTAACATAAAACAACATGTGAGGAACACCACACAATGTTCTAATCAAAAATAATTTCAAGAAAAATTTCAATTTTAACTCCCAAACCTTATTTAAAAGTATTGAAAAGATACAAGACCTCTAAGTTTTATGAACTCACAATAGAAAAGTATAAATAATTTATAGACGATGTCCTTTCTCTTTCATTAACTAGAAAAGGTGATTACAAAGAGACTAATTCTACTACTAATGTCTCTCATATGATGAAAATGCTTATCATGCTTCTCACAATGACACTAAAGCATGATACTAGTATATAAGAGGAATATCTCCTAATATTTAATCAATCTTTTTTTCTTGCGCCACCTTCTATATTTAGCAAACAAGTTTCTCATGGATGCATTTGTAAATTTGTAGATTTATGTAAGACATTATTCCTCAACCATGTAACCATATATAGGTAGCGTGCTCCTATTTGTTAGAATTTGTAAGCTTCTGCCATAGGTTGTCTGCTGTTAAGAACATTATAGGATTTCAGGATGCTTTTTATTTGTTCTGTCATTGAGAAAAAGGTAATTGCACGTTTTAGAATATAGTGTGCAATCAACTCTGTATTTGAGTATATAAGGTATCCATGATTTTATCAATCTTATGTAGAGAATAGCAGAAGAAAACTATAATCTGGAAGGTTGATTTAGGAAAAGAATGTACCTTAAAGAATGAGGCAAGGCCAACACAAAGTCTAAGTTTAAGTTACAGGGTTTGGAGGTATTAGTTGATCGGATGTTAGAAAGCTCGGGTAATCCGTTCGTATAAATCATTCTTCAGTCAAAGATCGTTATCTAAGATTAGAAGAGTCAACTAAAGAAGAGGGAGTTAAAGAGGGGGATAAGAGTTTGAATAAGAGAACTTTATTATAGAAGAATACATTTTTGATTTAAGTTGTTTTTGGGTTTTTCTTTGGTTCCATACCGATGACTAAGTACACCCCTATGTATACTAGTTTGGTATGGTTGTAGATATTACAACATATAGATTATTCTATCTTTTATTGCAAATACCTAACTCTCTAAAATATGTAGTTAATTCTTCAAGGCAACATCTCTAAAATATAAAAAAATTCATTAAAATAGTTATTTTTCGATATAACACTAGACTATGCAAGAAATTATACTTTAAAAATAAATGATATCCCAAAAATAAACTTTATCATTTTTCAGATATTATGCCTCACTTGAAGTATGCAATATGCCATTAAGAAGAGTTTTGTTGTCCACTTAGTTTCCCTTTGAAGTAAGGTAACAGTGAATCAAGAAAGGAAAGATTTGAGATGCCTATTTCGAAGAAAAGATTGAAGGTGTGCATTATATCTCAAGAAACTGGAAAGAAAAAAATGAAGATGTAAATATATTGTACTCTTGTTGGTTTTGGTAACAAGGAGATATACATGCATTCCACTTTTTAGTTCTGAGGAATTTAAGAAGCTATTTAAATTCCGTATTTAGGCAGTTTGCTCCTATATTATTCCAGTTTTGTTATATTCTAAGAGGGGTAGAGGGTGTTGTTGATGCTTTGTATATATTTTGGCACAGTATTTTTGTTGTGATGATTAATGGGCGTATCCATAATGTAAAGGGTGTGTTAAGATTGAAGGATGCTTATCCTTTTGTTCATGAGTTGGAAACAAGGATATCTCACGCTCTAGAATTGAGTATGCATTCTGCTGAGTACATACAATTATCAGAGAGTGGTGTGCGTGAGTTTATTAAGTTCATGCATCCGGTAAGGTGCACAATAAGAAATCAAGAGGCATTTGGCAGTCCAGACAATTTTCTTTTCTTGATGCAAGATGAAGTTGAAACATATGAGATAAAAGTCCTGCATCGTGTTATTTGACATTCTTGTATAATTGGAGTTGTGTCGAAAGGAACTGAAAATCTAGCTGGGTTTGGCAAACAGAGAAAGAGGTGAGCCTTTTGTATGTTGTTCTTCCAAGTATCTTTTAATTTTAAAGGAGTTAGAAAGCATTTCAAAGTCGTGTGAGGGTTTGGAGCAAATGTTTTGGTACGATTTGATGCGAAGAAGAGGTGTGTTGTGCTTTCTTATAGGTAAACTTTCAAAATGATCTAAAGAATATTAGTGGAATCTTGAGCACAAGAAAGTAACACATTTTAACATAAGGCAACGTTTTGCCTTAAACTATGCTTCGATAAGGGAGGCATAAGAAAGAGGAGCTTTATGAGATGCTCATATGCAGGTTTCATTTGATATTGTTCCTCCCTTCTCGAAGCATCTTCTAGGAAAAAGTCTGCCTTATCTCAAAATGTCCTACATCCTGATGCTAAAAAAATCCACTGATAATATGTTGAGCTTTTTGAAAGTGTAACTATCACATAGCACAATTAAACTCCAGTCAGAAAGTATTGCTTTGATATTTTAGTGATTATTGATTTTAGGGGCATGATACAAGTGAACCTATAGTTAGTTTGAGGACACAGGTTTGGTCAAAAGTTTTCTTTAAATGTAATAAACAACACAAAATGGGAAAATAAAACACTTGTCAATTCTATATTAATGTGTGGTGACAGATTTTTACTTTACTTTGCATCCTTATTACATGCTGAAATCTTGGGTGTTCCAATCATTCGGTAGTGTCACTATGTGAATCAAGATTGGCCTCCATGTGATTAATTTCCTTAAACCTTGTATATGTCAAGAAGCTTATCAAATATTCCCATGTTAGATGCTCATACTAGAGTTGAGAAAGGCCTTATGCTTCCCTTGCAAAAACTACTTTTGATGTTATGCAAAAAATGATGTTCCTACAAAAGCACAAGTATACTGAAGTTAATGGATCTCACCCTTATGGAGTTATTTATTTCACAAATGCCCCTAAATTTTTCCTAACTCATCTTGTGTCACGTACACTGAATTTGTA